CAAAAGGTTCATATCCAGGTTTCTGCTCCTCATCTACCTGCTGGAGGAAAACTCTACATACGTAGCTGCTATGCAGCTCCATCTAGTGGCTCTAGATCGTCCCTGAAGTACTCCATCATAGACAACTTTGGGTATGTAGTGTGGATAGAGAGACCTGATTAAACTGAATGTGAAGCAAAAGAGTGAATCTGTGACGAATGTAAGATTTGGAAAAAGCTACATATTTAAATGTTCGGGTTTTTACTCCATATTGTTATCATTGATGTTTGCAGCTGTATGCTGGACAACAAGGGAGACCTGGGGGCCTCTGAGTTTGTTTCCCGGACAGACAGGACTGTGAGACTTTCCGTGTTGGCCTTCCAGTTTACTGCTGATCCAAACACGGAGGTGAGAGTAGACCATCTATGATTCTCTCCGTTTACACAGCTAAGCACTGCGGCATAATCCCGTTTCTGTTTTAGGTCAGTATCCACTGTAGGTTATTTGTCACGTCAGAGGATCCAAGTCCTGTGCACAAATCCTGCACATACAGGGGCAACAGGTGAGGAATAATAGGATATAGCAGCAGAACTGTAGATTTCCCAGCTGTTTCCAGGGGGACTGTTAATACATATGCTATAACAGGTGGAGGGCGCTTACTGGTGATGACTCCATATGTGAATGTTGTGAGTACCGGTGTGTGACTCCTAAGCCCCGGAGGGCTATGATGGAAGGTCTGTAACAATCTCATTATAATACCTTTTAATTTAAGATATTCAGCATTTTGCATCGACTGTTTGGGAATTGCAGACATTTTTACACATACCCATCAATTTTCAGAGGCTCAAAGATGACAAACGAATATAATTTGAAATATAAAGATGTTTTTCTTAATTAATTGGATACAAATCGTTTGCAGTCAGTGATTGAGAAGGCCTGGCAGGGGATTCACTTAATGTTCTGCCGCTGACACCTCTGGATTTCATTTTTTGAGTTCCAGTGAACAGCTACCAAATACAAGTTCAAGCTTTAAATCCTAACTAGCTGATACAATACTTTTGTTAAATGATTAAAATTACAGCTGAAAGTGTACAATTTAAATAGTTTTTTTTATATATATACATTTATTTAAAACCCCACTATGATGGTGTAGCAAGGTAAAATTACAAATGTGTCATTGTCCAAATAAATGTATGGACTTAACTGTGTATTCAAAAATCAATATACAGTTATGGAAAAATGTAAAACATCAAATTGTATGTAAACATCAAATCTGTTAGTCAGTTAAAAAATTAAAATTACTTTTTGTTGTTGTTTGTTTGTAAGGTTCTGCCAGCAGCGGGTCATTACTGGTGTCGGATCAGTCGTACACAGCAAAGGACCAGTTTCTACCAGTGAGCCTCCCTCTGGACAGCATAAGAAAACAACAGAGGACCACAAATCGTTACAGTAATGAGACGCACAGCCGGGACAGCTTCTTGGGAAAAGCAGTAAAGTATAATGATGATGGTGAAGAAGAAAGTGGAACTGCATTTGGAGCGATGACGGGACTTAATTTAGATGATTTTGGTTTTGGGGAGAGGGCCTTAAAGGGCAAGTGGAATGAATCTGAGGTGAAGCGTTTAGATAAGTTGAGGGAGGAGGAGTCACCGTATGAAAAAAAGGATTCAGGTGAGAGAAGTGAAAATGAAGTTTATGATGTAGAGCAAGCGAACGATCGGAATCAGAAGGAAAGTGAAATGATTAGTCACTTGGAGCAGTCGCCACTGTCGGAGATTGATGTACAGCCACCTGATTCTAGAGATGAGGGAGGAAACGGGACACATGGAGGGAAGGAGGTGGAGGTTGAGGAGAAGGGGTTGATGACATCACACGAGGTGCAGTTGAAGAATGACAGCAGGACAGCAGATGCAGAAGATGGTGGGGAGATGACGTGGTATTTTTTTTGGAGGTAGTGTTGAATCAATTAATCAAGTATACCGCTTTAAGACTGGAGCTCTGCATAGTCTGACTCATTTCAATAAAATGTGAAAATGAAATCAACCGACTCTTGTCATTCATGACTTCACACAACAAACTTTGTTTCATTTAAAAACAGTTTCCATTCTAGGAACGTACACTGCACAGAAAAATGAAAGGAGCACTTCTTAATCAGAGAACAGCATCAGGTCAGTTAAAGTTCTGGGGTACTGAAGTTTAACTGAGTAGCAGAGAGGCTCAGCTGCTTTGAAATTAATAGCAGGTGCACTAGAGGGGCAACAATAGGACAACCTCCAAAATGGGGATTGTTTTACAGGTGGAGGCCACTGAAATATATTTTTTCCCCCCCTCATCTTTGTCTTCTTGTTTCACTAGGCTCTGTGTCACTAGTGGTACCATGAGGAAATACCAGGGCCCTACAGAGGCTGCACAGGATGTCCAACTCCTCCAGGAGAGCACATCAATATGTGCTATTGTCAGATTTGCTGTGTCCCAGCACAGTCTCAAGAGCACAGACATTCCATAGGTCCTTAACCTATCAGCAGGACCATTAGCTGCACCTCTACAGGCTAGGCAACAGCACCCTGACTGCCATTAGGTATCACGATGAAGTCCTTGGACCCACTGCCAGAACCTACGCTGAAATAGTGGGTCCATCTGTGATGACGTGCATACAAACTACTGAGTGTCCATTATGAGTTGCTGCAATGAAATTTTGGCAAAATGGACCAGCCTGCTGCTGCATTTTCACTCTGATTTTAAGCATTTTTTAATTCAACCTACTGTAGTTAAATTTTCAATTCTTTTAAATGAGGTGGTATCCTTTTGTTCTTATTACCCAGTAGCATTTTTCACTCAGTAAGATTTGATGTGTGTTCAAAGTGTTCCTTTACATTTTTGTGAAGGGCAGAATCTCTAAACAGTTGACCCTGAAGTAAAACAATGCAAGAAAAAAAAAAAAGATGGGCAACACAGTATTTTAGTTTATCGATAAATCTTTAATTTTTCTTTATAAATGGTGATTCTTACAGTTGTCTGCAAAACCAGTTTGAAATATATTATAGTTCAATACAGAAATATCCCACAGTTTAAGCCATAACTGGGAAGAAAGGCATTGCCTCCATTATCTGTAACTAAAAAGCAGCAGAAAATGTGCACTATAATCATTCTAGTGTGTGATGTGTCTGTGATCTAAAATATAAATTTGCATGCTTGTAGAGCTACGCAACAGACTGTTTTATTATGTCATTCTTTAGCAAAAATGGCAAAGAAGACTGTCTGTAGAGGTCGTCCTCTAAACATGACAGAAAAAATAACTTAAGATAATTAATAGTATTTGGAACAAATACAATTAGTGTGGAAACTTTTGGAAAAGATACAGAACATAACTCTGTAGAAGAAATCCACCATTACTCGATATGTTAAATAAACATAATGCTGCTATATTTACAGATGAGTGCCCAAAAGTCCCATTGTTCCAAGTACTGACTAAAGGATTGATTCAGCAGGACATAAGTGGTACAATCACTATTTGACACTAGAGGGCGACAAAGACCCTCTGGTAAAGAAAATATACATCTCTTTATAAAATGCAAAATGAGCTCTCAAGAAAATTAGGACCCACACCATTAAATTCAAACAACTCCAAAACCTTAAAAAAAAAAAAAAAGCAGTTTCTGAGTGAAGCATCTCATCCATCTTTATCCAGTTGCAGAGGTCTCCTTCAGTCTTTATAATCATGTTTATGACGACCCTCCTTCAACAGTACCAGCTGTTCCATTTGTTTTCTCTGCAGCATCTAAAGTTGAAATGTGCACAGAGTTAGTTTGTCTACATCCAAAAGAATTGTACAGAAAAAATATTTTAGCTATTTAGGCAAAATAGGCAGTGTTAGCCGTTTGGTGCAAACTGGGAAAACATTTCAAGTACTCAATGGCTGGGCATCATAATCTCAAAACATACATTTTCCCCTGAAAAACTATTATTTGTTGGTCTATTAAATACTTTACCCACATTACCATCAACGGATCTGCTGTAGTGTGTTTATTGCCCACTGCTTAGCAAATGTTAGCATAGCATTTGGCTAAGCTATAGCATAAAGTTAATATGGGAAACTGCTAATATGCTTCTTCACTAAGAAAGCAGCATGTGCAGCACTGATCACTAAACTGAGTAAAAAGGCTTAAAATTTGCATTGCGTTTGACTCATTTCTTTATCTGTACTGTCTTTTTTTTTTGGCTTTGTTTTGGGGGCTTTTCACACCCACTCATGATCTTTATGTGTACAACATGCGCCACATCTGGTCACTCTCTTTCTATTTGTCATGTGTTGCATGCCTTTTTAAAAAATCTGGGATGATATACATTACCTTTGATACTTTCCTGCTGCGCTTCCTGTCTTGCAGTTTGGTCCACATCTTCACTCGTCTCAACCTCGCTGCCCCTTGTTTTGGGTTTCTTTGCAACAGGTGGTGGCACCTTGGCTCCCTTATTCATTGACTCTGCTTCACTGGTCCCCTTCTGTACATCTTCCTTGGCCACCGGCATTGGCTTGGTCTCAGTCACAACATTCCTGTTGCTCTTGGAGAAGATAAAGCTTGCAGTGCTGCTGGGGGACTTGTGAAGGTCCAGTGGTGACGTTGGAGGCTGCAAGCTAAGGCGAGACACTGGACTTTGTTGAGATCTGGCTGCTGTCCTCATGCGGATGGCTTCCTGTAGGTTCATGGAACGGTTAGTGTTCACGGCAGAATAAGTCTTTTTCGTAGGGGAGGTGGCTATGGACAAAGATGAAGGAGGAACCACGGCAGCTTGGGACTTGGGCACAGTTGGTTGCGAAGGGACTGTTTCCGGTGGAGGAATGGGTGTAGAAGAGGTCATGATTAGAGATTTTCTGATGGGCTTCTGAGGAGCCTCACCATTAGCAGATGAGGATGGGAACTGATTGCTGCTTGTGACCTCAGCCTGTGGTTGCTGCTCTTCAGCTTTGGGGGGCTCAGGGCTGCTGCTGACTGACCGCAATTTGACCATCTGCAGGAGGGAAGGGGTGACAATGGGAATAGGTTCTTCTTGCACAACTGGGGTAGAAGTCTGCTCTTGGGTTTTATTCTCTGTGCTTAAAGGAATAGGCTGCTCCTTAATGCTGGCATGCCCCTGAACTGGTAAAGGTGGAGGTACAGGAATGTTTACAGGTTCAGAAGGAGCAGGTACTTGAGTCTTTTCTGGTGAAGATGTTTCAGGTGGTGATGGTGGTGGTATTGATACTTCAAATGGAGGTGAAGGTGAGGCCTCCTTTGTTGTCAGAACATCAGTTTTTGAGGCCTCTACAGTTTGTGGAACCTCAGTTTTTGGGGCTACTACCTGAGATTGTGGGAGAAGCTCTGTGGGAGGTGGAGGGGGAATATTCTGAGGGGGGATAAGAACACTGTTAGATGAAACTGTGTTAGCTTCAGGTTCAAAGGAGACCTTCTCTTGTAGAAGCTCAATCTTCTGCTCTGATGATTCTGGCTGTGTTGGCAGGGGTGGTGCAGGTGGAATACTTTGTGGTGGAGTGAGCTTGCTGATGGGTTCAGCCTCTTCAGAGATGTTAGACATATTTTCTTGAGAAGGAGGAGACGTAACCTCTTCAGAGGACGGAGCAGACACCTCTTTGAGTGGCAGATGTGAGACCTCAACAACTAGAGGAGGTGAGACGACTTTAGCTGGTGAAGGAGATACTAATGTTAATAAGGTAGAGGAGATGTCTTTAACAGGTGGGGGCACATCTTGAACCACGGGTGAAGGTGGCTTTTTTGGTATTACAGGACCAAACTCTACAGGTGGTGGTGGAGAAAGTGTCAGAGATGCCTTATCAGTTGCAGTAGGCAGAACCTCTGTAAGTGGTGGAGGGGGTGCTGTATATGGTGGGGGAGGAGGAATATTTAAGGGAGAAGGCGCTACCCCCTGAGATGTACTGGACTTGTGAAGTTCAGGCTCCATGACCACCTTAATGATGTCCTTTTTCACTACTGATATAACCGATGTAGTCGTGCAAGAGGAGTCACTCCTGAGGGAGGACTTTGGTGGAACCTGAACAGGTATAATGGATGAATCATCACCAAACAGTGGGGGTGGAGGAAGAGGAAAATCTATTTCATCTGGCCCACTGGGGCTACCTGATGCCGGTGGTGGTGGTGGAGGGGGCCAGGAAGATTCAGGGGATACAACTTTTACTGATGTAATGGGATTGATTTCTGTGGTCTGTCTGGGGAGGGGCTGGGAAACACGTTGCACCAGAGGAGCAGATAGCGCTGGGGAAACGTGAATTAATGAAATGGCAGGTGCTCTGTCAGTGTTAGTCTTTACCTCTGTAGCTTGGCCGGTTGTTTTATTAGCTGCTTCTTCTTTTATTGCTGCAAGTCTTTCTTCTCGTCTCTCTACAGCCTTCATTAACATTCCATTCAACATATCACTTACTCTCCCTTTCTCATTACCACGTCCATTCAAATCTACATTCTGAGCCAGTCTTTCATTGCTATCTTTGCAAATCTCTGCATTCAAAATCCCACTTTCTTGAACTTTCTTCAATTCGAGCACATGTAGGGATCCATTAACGGACTCTGTCGTCACTGATGGATTTTTGTGCTTTCTTTCTACTGCCAAGCTCTTAGCCAACTCCTCAGCAGCTGCAGGAGACTGCCTCTGTTGTCTCCGGTCCTTCGGGTTCTTCTTTGCAATAGCATAAGTCTTGCCAGGGGCTGGGGGTCCCAGGATCAGCTCACATGAACGCAAACTATGGGACCATACATCAGGTGGAGGAGGTGGAGGTGCATGGATTTTAGGTGGTGGAGGGATATTGAAAAGTTCTATCAAGGCCTGTACAGAGGGACTGACAGTGTCTTTTGAATCAGCTTTATGTTCCTCAGTGCACTTATTATATTTAGATGACTCTGACTTAATTGAAGAGGATCCAGCAAATACTTTTTGAAGCTTTGTTAAAATGCTGTTCTTATGCTTTGGAGATGAACCGTTAGCTTGTTTAGTGAGCTGTGGGGATGTGCCATCTTGGCTGGAGTTGCCACTGACATTGTTTAGCTTATTCTCCGCAAGCAGTTCCCGCTTCTCTTGTGAAGCATCTTTCGATCTTTTGATTGCCTGCAGCTGAGTTTTAAAGGGACCGACTGACGAAGAGCCCATTGAATCATCCAGAGAACTGGTGTCAGCATTGTAGCCAGGGCTGTCCAGAGTCTTGGAGGGATGAGAGTCAGATTGGGTTTGGTCACTTTCCTCACTTGGGGCTGAATTGCTGTGGAGAGAATTTTCTCCTGGCAGGACCCTAATCTCTGCTGGATAACGGGGCTGCCGCTTCATTTTACTGTGGAGGGAATAGGAGCGGTTTGGAGGAGGAGGGGCCCTTTTTGGCTTCGTAACAGAGAGGCTACGCACAAACTGTCCGTCTTTCTTAACCTCATCTCCCCTAACGATCACCCTGCCATTGGAGCTGGAGGCCTTGCTTATAGAGGAGTGAGCATCAACTTTGTCCTTCTTAGCAGAAGCATTGCCATTTCTCTTTTGTTTTGGGGTGCTGCTGTTGGAGATGGTTGAAGAGTCAGATACCAATGTCTCGGACGAGTCAGAATTACTCCAACACGATGTGTCAGACAGATTTGGAGGATTGTTGCGAGAGGCAGAGGTGATGGTGGACGATTTGGAGGAATAGGTTCTCACTGAAGATGCTCTAGAAGAAGCACGGGACGGAGCTGGGCTGGAGAGCATCAGGCTGCTTTTGCTGACAGTGCGGACACTGTTCCGACTACGCCCACGGCTGATCTCCACCACATCGATTGCGGGTGGCAAAATGGCATTGGGAATGATTTTGGACATGTAAGCAGCCTGGGGTGACATGGACATGACGGGGAGCTCCTGTTGAAGGCTGGAGGCAGTGGTCAACCAGGGTACAGCTAAAGATCGAGGCCTCTGATCATCTTCCAAGGCGGGACGCAGGCGGTGCAGCAGGGCGAGATCATCTCTATGAGCAGCATGGGTAGCACCGAGCTGCTTGACATTTTTCTTGTTGAGAGGCTGGATGCTTATGCCTGGAACATTAATACTGGCTCCTTTTTCAGACTGTGATCCCATCTGTTGCCCATCTGTAGTTGGACTGAGATTAGTCTCGCCATTAAAAAGCTGTTCCTCATCTAACTTTGGATTCAGTATCCAGTCAACTCTGTCCAGACCTAAAACAACAGCACAACCTTTCAGAATTAAGATAGCTAGTTATGCACTGATTGTCTTTCTTTGAATCTGCAACATGAACATCTTAGATACTGTAGCAATCTTGAATAGTTCATATAGTTCAAAAAGTCACTGCATACCCAGCTCTCTCTGAACATGATGTGGGATACCCACAACAGTCTTCCTGTGGCGTCTTCTGGTCCTGGTCTTTTCTGACTTTTTCCCAGAGTTCAAAGGTCTGAATGTTGAACCTGTAGAGCGAATAAATGTTTAGCCACATGTCATCAATTAAATGTTTTATGCAAGCATGTCAAAGTGTGTTGCATAATGACAAAGAGTGGATATAAATAGTGTTTTGGCTTGTGGTTAATTTACCTTGTCTGGTGAGTCCAGAGCGGGAGGATCTAGTGGACACTGACGATTGCACAGAGGCGACAGAAGACGTATCAGGAATCGTGCTGTCCGTCATAAACCCAGCACTTTCTCCATCTGTTTGAGCCGTCATTGTCGACTAGCAAAAACAGAAAGATTACTTATATTACATTAATAAAAGTTGTAACAAATCGTTTGTGATATTAGAAAGCACAAGAATCTGTATATAATGTGTAACTTACAATTGTGCTTACGCTGTCCTGGTATTCCACTCCATTATTGGTTTCTGAAAAGACAAGAACAATCTTCGATTGATAATGGGAATTTTTAATTAAGTGTCAAAATCTAGGGAAGAACAAACATGTACTGGGTATATCAGTAGTTGGTTTTATACCTTCCTCCTGCATCATTTTCAATCCTTGCAGGGCCTCAGTGTGAAGGTCCTCCAGGTACTTGGGCCTGCTGGACTCAATGAACACATTCTCCTGGAACAACGGGGGTGCTGGGGTCTTTTCATCATCATCTAGCTTTAGGGCAGCTTTAAAAAAAAAAAAAAAAAAAAAAAAGGGAGAGGAGATCAGTCCAGATCAACTCAAAGCTCTGTGTTACTGTAACTGTAAATGATGGGGGCCATATGGACAGGGGGTTAGCATTTAGGTGACTGTCAGGGATATTTAAGCACAGGAACAGTAAAGATGTTTGAGGGTTAACACATGAGAGTGTGAAATGAATAGACCGAACTCCAGTTCTTCTCATGCAGGATTAGACACAGTGATCCTCAACATGGGATTATCATATCAAAAATCTGCCTGCAGCAACATATGCCTGGTGTTTTTTTCCCAGCTTAACCATCATTTAAAGAGACAGTAAGAAGGACTCTAATTAAACTGCTATGGCATCTCAAACGATGGATCCAATCCAAAGTTAAGCATTACTTTCAGTCATGTGTGAAACTCAAGAATAACAAAAACCTGAGTAACCTATTCTTAAGACCGTTATATAAAATTAAAGTTAATGAGTCTTTACATTTAAAAGAGCAACATATTTTCTTCATGAATCCAATAAGAACTAAACATAATTAAACATAACACCCATTTGACATGCCTCATGCCTCCATGGCACAGTCTGGGATTGTTGGACTAGCAGCCTTCTATGAAAGTTTTATGTAACAGCAACAGCGGCCCTACTTTTAGCTACCTGTCCTCGTAGCACTCTCACTGTAAGACCATGCTGGAATTAACCATGTGCTTAACAGTTAAAGCTAAGTCTTACCTTCCTCTTCTGTAACAGCAGAACACTGTTAATGAAATCCTAATGTGCAAAATTGAAATTCTAGCTGTTCTTTTTAATATTTTTCTTATTATGAGAAGTATTTGTAACTACTGTAGGAGAAAAAATCACAGCATTTTATATATCTGCAAAGTAAATATTATAGCTCAACAGTGGTTTTTATGGTTTATAATGACCAGACTTTAATTTCTTTATTGCCTGCCATAAGCAAGGCAGCTGATCGAGCCTGTGTGGTCATTTATAGTAAACACAACCTGGGTAGGACCAATTAGTTTGGATCTTCAACCAATAAGATCAAACCTATGCTGCTCTCACTCACCTCTTCTCTTGGAAACTGTAGGAAAGCAGTGAAAAGTATTGGAGTTATTAGTCAGAAGCACCACCATGATCTTTCTTATGTCTTCAAAAAGTTGACTAAAAGTATGTCCAAGTTATAAAGTTAAACCACATAAAAACACCCAAAAAGACAATCCATTCACAAAAATATATAAATCCTGGAACGATCACGACAGCATGAATATGTTATGTGCTTGTTATTGTCAGTTCAGGTCCTCGCCGAGCAGAGAATGTCTCTTCAGCCAATGGACAATCAGAGCTCAGACACTAATCCTCAGCAGCCTAATTCCTGCCATCCCTCTTCCACTATGTCACCCCCCTGTCAGTGCTCAGTAAGATACCATCCCACTATCGTGCCCCATCTGCAGACTAGCTCGCCCAGGATTGGTCAGTCAGGATGCAGAAATCAAACATGTAAACATTAATGCATAGAGCGCTGTTGTCAGGGATTTGAGGTAAAACAGGCATGCCTCCAGTAAACAACACACCACGTCTTTGTTAAAATATACAATTTCATTACAGAACTCTAATAACATGGTCAAAATTTCTATACTTCCTCAGACTTCATTAGAATAGACACTATAAAGCTGCCTTATAATTTACTTTTCTATTAAATTGGCATTTTAAAAATTTATATATTCATTTTTTTAAATATACAGCCCTTCCCAGCACAACTCCAAAAGGATCCGTCTGGCCTCTGGGATCAAACCGTGAATATTCTGCTTGTTAGGCAAATGCTTAATCTACTACACTAAATTGTTTATATAAAAATGTATTATTTTGCCACAAGGGGGTGTAAGTGAATTGAAATGACTATTCCTGAAACAAGATTAAAAACATGTTTAGTACAGGCCTGCAGCTCCACAGCACATGGTCACCCATGTGAAAAATACTCCCCATTGTTTCCAGAAAACACTACAATAATTTGTTACTATGCAGCCTGAATACAGAGAATGGCACAAGGCATCCCTAGTTAACTTTAAGTGCTGCTATCCAGAGGGGCACCAAATACTTTTCAAGCGAGCTGTTACAGCGTCCCATTTTTGTCGACAAGACTCTTCTTTCTTCATTCCTTCCCGTCATTTTATTTTTCTAAATTTACTTTTTTTTATTCATCACTTCCCTGGTGCGCTGTACACACATGACATGGAGCACATGACATCTGAACAAATGGAAAACGCTCCCATGGTCTGAATCCTACAGAGTGAGTGTTACAAGAAAAGAAACGAATCACATGTGGAACCAGCATATACAAACGAGTAAAAACATACCGCTGACTTACCAGAACTGGCTGCTCAATACAACGCAAAGCTGATACGCTTGTGTGTAAAGTAGTAAAGTCAACTTAGTATAATGCTTTATCTTTTTACCGTGAGAGTTACGGTTGAGAATAACTGCACGGTAATAATGACTTATAGTGTCACCAGTTTGGCAGTCACATTGTAACAGAGTCCATATTAATCACTGGCATATTAAAGACACCATCTGTCACAGCTGGATTGAGCGGGATTGTGTATTAATGGACTGGTAGTGTTGGCGTTACATACATCCCCCACCCTAAACTGATTTTTACGTCTTAGATTTGGTTAAAGAAACCAAATCAAATGAATTTGATGACAATTCAATATAAGTTTGAGTCTTCAGCCTCTAGTGAGGAAAAAATAAAAGTCAGCTCATGGAGGTGTGGTTAAATGATTATAACATGAATAAGAGTACATTTTAAAGAAAAACATTTTAAACAAGCAAGTTTTTAATGGCAAATGTGTTTTTGTGCATAATGTACTTTGGATCATCATATTATGTGAAACAAATTACAACCAGAGACACAGACAGTGTTGAAGAGCGGTTATGACACGCAACCAGGACAATCAGTTGGAAGTCTGAATGGCTATTCTACATCAGAACTGAAACTAATTTGTTAGTATTAATATGTTCAGAGCAGAAATTTGGCTCTTTTTAACCAAAAAAACAGAACTTTATAAATGTCAGTGTACGATGTGAACCGTTTGACTGGGGACATGATGCAGAGGGAGAAATCTAGTGTTGTAAAACAGATTAACTTCTTTTTGCAGCTCACCTGTCTCACCACACCAGCACTGGCATATGTACATGTTTTCTATGGTCTAGAACCATGTCAGTGAATCGATGCTGACTTTTCACTAGAATACAGGATACAGGTGAAAGTCTTCAGCTTCACTTGCAGTGTCACTGAACGTTCATGGATATTTTTACTCTTCACTCTGCTTGCTACTCTTCATCTGATCCAGTCCGAAGAGTCTTATGATTGAGTCCAATTCCTCCTTAGAAGATTGAAATTATAGGAAGATTGGAAGGTCCTTGTGGCTCTTTTGTCAAATGACACCAAAAACCATTTCCACCAAACCCAGCTTTAATTTTCAAACCAGGCTGCAAAATTCTGACTTATGGCAGGAGAGAGTTCAAAGACTAAATTACTTAAATTCTGGCCTGTTAGACCATCTACCCATTTTTTCTTGCAGGTCCTGAAGGCCATAGAGTGAGGACACACCCTTGACTGGTCACCAGTGTGACCAGTATTATTTATTGTGAAGCGACTTGGCTTACCACCACACTCCCATGCCATCCCTCTTATGTTTTATCTTATTTTCTGTCATATATATGGCTGCTCACATTAAACATGGTGAAAACCTCAAATAAAGAAGTAATCCTCATGAACCAGCCCAGAGTTCAGGTGCAAAGGTCTGGTTGTGAGCAAAAACAGATTCACACCTGCTGTTTAAACCTTATGCCAATAAAAGAAGTGGCTCTAAAGCAGCTGACTTTGTAGATGAATGAAAGGATTGACTGAAATCAATAAGATAAGGATTTCATGCTTATCTTATGGTTGAAAGTGAAGTTACGTTTGAGTCCAAGAATGAAAACAGGGAGCAGGAAATGTTTTGATTTTGGTTTTATATTTCCAACAAACCTTATTTAGATACTCAGTTTTAGGTCATGTTATCCAAACTACTGTCCTTTTTAGCCTAGATTGGCTGCACAGCAGACATAGAGCGCAACACACATATTGACACAATCTAGCGCTGATGCGACTCTTCCTAGAACTGTTTCATGGGAATCAGACAGATGCAAATACCTACCACACACACACACACACACACACACCTCTCCTCCCTGCCCTAACTTGCCCCTCTCTCTTGTTTTGAACCGCCAGCTCTGAGGGTGCCGTCTGCCAGGTGCTTAAGCTTCTCTAATCAACACAAACCCAACTGACAGTGGGAAAGAGCTGAAAGTTCACCCTTTATCTCAAGGACGATACGTGTAGCCTCGATCCGCTGGAAGCACATCTCAAAGAATCCCGGTCTGCCTGCATACTGTGAATTAAACATAAACGTCGGCGGTGAAAGAAAAGGAAGCACGAAAGGTGCTGTGACAAGGACCGCAATGTAGGTAACAGATATACCTGCATCATGTGGCACTGAGTGCTGCACCACAATCGGTATGCGAGACAAAGACCAGATGTATCAAATAACTCAGTAAATCTATTAACGGTTTCACAACAGTAGATTGTCTTTTGGGGTTTTTTGGAGGGGGGAGTTGGTAGGTCGGTTACTTTTTAACGCCACAGTCAACGTCACCACATCCGTTTACATCCTGAACCTCCCCACAGCACAGAAAACTCACTGCCAGCCACATAACAAAAGAAAACAAAAAGGTCTTTATGAATAGATTTAGCCATAAGCAACAAATTAAAATCTCATTAAAACGTAGAATAAAATGGAAAGTATTCAGGCCTGCTAGAGTCTGTTTGATGAAAGCACAAGCTTAACTGAGATTCATATGTGAATACAAATCAATTAAAAGTGTTGAGAAAATAAAAAGCCTTAATAGTATTAGTACGACAAGTAGATGCTAGAAATAGGCAGAATATTTTGG